CCGTTGCTTCTTGTCCTGCCTTCAGGCGCTTTGGAGAATAGCTTGACTCCCTCTTCTTTGTGGCAGCCCCTGAGATATTGGAACACTGCTATCATGTCCCCCCTCGTCCTTCTCTTCATTAAACTAGACATACCCAATTCCAGCAACCGTTCCTTATATGCTTTAGCCTCCAGTCCCCTAATCATCTTTGTTGCTCTTCCCTGTACTCTAGAATAGAGTCTCAACATCTTTTTTACATCGTGGTGACCAAAACTGGATGCAGTATTCCAAGTGTGGCCTTACCAAGGCATTGTAAAGTGGAATTAACACTTCACGTGATCTTGATTCTATCCCTCTGTTAATGAAGCCTAGCACTGTGTTGGCCTTTTTGGCAGCTGCAGCACACTGCTGGCTCATATTTAGGTGATTGTCCACTAGGACTCCGAGGTCCCTCTCGCAGCTACTAGTATTGAGCAAGGTACCCTCTATACTATACCTGTACATCTGGTGTTTTTTTGCCTAAATGTAGAACCTTACTTTTTTCACCATTGAATTTCATTTTGTTAGATAACGCCCAGTGTTCAAGTCTGTCCAGATCCTTCTGTATCTTAAGCCTGTCTTCTGGAGTGTTGGCTATTCCTGCCAGCATGGTTTCGTCTGCAAATTTGATGAGTTCCCCATCTATCCCCTCGTCCAAATTGTTGATGAATATGTTGAAGAGCCCTGGTCCCAGAACAGAGCCCTGGGGCACCCCACTACACACTTCCCTCCATGTAGATGTGGTTCCATTGAGGACCACACGCTGAGTACGGCCAGTTAGCCAGCTAAGGATCCATCTGGTGTTGATGCTGTGTAACTCACATCTTTCCATCTTATCAAGTAGTAGGTTGCGGTCTACTTTATCAAATGACTTACTGAAATCCAAGTAATTTGAGAGGACAAAAAGGAAACACACTTAACCTGTCACCCAAAAATATGAATAGCATGGAGATTGATTATTAACCAATGCACTGATAAATTTATTAAAAATTCTGAAGCCACATTTTGGCACAAACTGATCCCAAGAGGTTTTGGCTAATTTCCAGATTTCAGATGAAACAACATCCTGTTGAGCAAAGAGTGACAAGGTTGAGGTATAAATGTTCCTTGTCTCCTTCTGCAGTGCCAGGGGCATATCCTTTCCTTTTTCAACCATTGCTATCAAATCTTTCCGCAGGCTTCCTTTCCTCCTTCTCCTTTGCCACCCAACTTCTGTCTGGAAAAATCAACCTTTATATTTCATACAAACTAAAATACTGGAAATATGCATTCCCCCCCCCCCCCGTTTTAACATGGTTCGACAGGAATAGAATGTTTTACAAAGACCACCTTTGTAAAAGCAAATCCAAGGATGATTTGTATAAATGACAGTTCTCTAAACCAGAAATTTCAATGTATTTGAATCTCTGTAGCCTATCCACAACCAACAGAATGTATATTTTACTAGATTTACCTTCACCATCTTCATTCTTTCCATCCGCCTGCATTCTAGCCAGTTGCCTGCACAGAAGCAAAGATAACAAGATTTTATCAGCTTGACATCCAATGTATGGCTTTCATTTGGGTCAGTACTAGAATGAGATTTAGTATCAGAAGAATCAAGTGGACTTAACAACAAAATGGTTTGTGCTGTTCCTGTTTTAGTTTTTATACACTCCCTTCAGTTTCTGTATACCTCTTTACTACCTCCTTACTCACTAGCTATAATTATTCCATTTTTTATTTGCTTTGTTACCTTGTCTCTACTATATTTAGACTTACTCTAATTATCTGGTGTTAACCATCTCAGCTTATCTGGGTGATAGTTGCTGGAAAGGATGTGTTCTGGTCTTTTTCTTTCCTTCTTAGCTTTTTTAGTGTCACTTTTAAATGCTGTGACAATGTTGTTTATAGGTATTAATGGCTGATTTGACTGAATGCCAAGCTATCAGGAATTCCCTAGCATTTCATTCAATGTCACAGCACTTCTTCTGTCTATAGTATTGAAAGAATTCATGGCAGCAGTACCCACACTTGCTAGCACTGACATTACCTAGTTGAGTAATGAAATATCTGCAAGCAAACAACCAAGCTCAGAGAGTACCAAGGACTCTACAATTCATTTGTTGGCTACATATATTCTCTTCTACTGTCTATTCTTGGAGAATCTTTTATCAATGATTTTATAAACTGCAAATTGGATTATTCCAGTGGTTACGTGGAGTTACAAATATTCTATTCCCTATTAGATTTCATTTTTAAAGTCCAATCCAATGTATGGCTAATTATGGTTAATGGGCTGTACTACCACAGTTTATTGGGCTGTACTGATACCATGGTTTGTTGAAAAACAAGCCACAAAGTGAGCTTTATACACAAAGTAAGGCCTTGAGGATAGGGTACACAGAAAAAGATCAGGCACAAATCATGAATAAACTGTACATTCCTATCTGCATAATACACCAACCACAGCTACAATTAGTAAAAACATGCATGTTGCTTTCAAACTGAGTTATTTCTTTAAATCAAACTGTCTATTTGCAGAATTCATTTATATTATCATAAACATCCCCACCACTACTACTTTAGAGTTCAAAAATGTTTTGTGAACTCAATCAATTTATATTGGACTACATGCTCATGCGTAGGACCCAGGTTTTCTTTTCTCAAAGTTTCCTCACCACTGGAGTTCAAACTGATAGTAATCAAGAGCATAAACATAATAGAATTTCCTTTTAATTTGCTAGTTTTCCAAACATCCTTTTAAACATTTGTGCTTTTTTAATTATTATAAGCACTCATTGGAATACACTATTTTATATTTTTTTTATTTCTGTAAGCTTTTCTTAGAAAATAGGTAGGTTTTTAATCACAAAAAGATTATTTCCAAGCCCTATAAACACTGCTGCGCTATAAAAGATCCAAGTACAACATAATTTTACCAAGAGATCTGTAAAAGAAAAAAAAATACCTTGTAAAGTGTTTCCTGTTAATCCCATTTTCACTCAGTGTTGACATCTTTTTGTCAAAGCTAGGGTCTGAATAATGTTGATTATTTTTCCTCATAGATCTCAAGGCATGCTGTCTTGTGAAGTGTTCACATTGTTTGTCTGAAGAAAACTCCTGAAGCAGCACGATAAGGATAATTAAAAATGCATATTTAATTACATTCTAACTCTGATGTGTAACTCATTTCTATTTGAAATATTTATGCACATTAATTCTGATTTAACACTGGCAAACTGGCAGGAGTAGCCAACACCCCAGAAGACAAACTCAGGATCCAAAAAGATCTTGACAGACTTGAACAATGGGCCCTATCTAACAAAATGAGTTTTCAATGGGAGAAAAGCAAAGTTTTACATTTGGGTAAGAAAAATCAAAGGTACAAATACAGACTAGACGAGACGAGACCTGGCTTAAAAACAGTAACTGTGAGAGAGACCTTAATGGACGATCACTTGACCATGAGCCAGCAGTGTGTAACAGCAGCCAAAAAAGCTAATACAATTCTGGGCTGTATAAACAGAGGCATAGAATCAAGATCATGCGAAGTATTAGTACCACTTTATAAAAGCCTAGTAAGACCACACCTGGAATACTGCAGCCAATTTTGGTCACCGTATCACAAAAAAGTTATTGAGAGTTTGGAAAAAATTCAGAGAAGAGCAACTAAGATGATCAAAGGCCTGGAGACTAAAACATGAAAAAGGCTGTGGGCTTTGGGTTTGGCTAGTCAAAAGAAAAGAAGAAACAGGGGCGACATGATAGCAGTATTCCAGTATTTGAGGGCCTGCCACAAAGATGAGGGAGTCACGTTATTCTCCAAAGCAGGACAAGAAACAATGGTTGGAAACTGATCAAAGAGAGAAGCAACTTAGCATTAAGGAGAAACTTCCTAACATTGAGGACAACCAGTGGAACAGCTTTCCTCCAGAAATTGTGGGCGCTCCATCACTGGAGATTTTTAAGAAGAGGCTAGACCAGGAGTGTCAAACTGCCAGCCCACGGGCCTGATGTGTCATGCCAAAACCACACCTACCCTAGCTCCGGCAATGGAGAAAAAGTCACCATACGTCATGACACATCACATGACATTATGAATTTGACACCCCTGGGCTAGACAGTCACTTGTCTGAGATGGTATAGATCATGGGTCGGCAACTTTAAACACTCAAAGAGTGTGTTGCATTTATGAAATCAATGAACTGCTACAAAGAAAACAATTTGTTATGCCGGAGAAAGAGGGGGAAACAAATNGGGGGGGGGGGGGGGAATGGATGGATTAGAAGACCTCCAAGATTCCTTCCAGCTCTATTCTATTATTATTATGGGAAAATACCAAGCCACGAATGAATTGGTGTGAGCCCTTGGCTAGTGACCAGTGGGATTCATTTGACCATACAGGTAGTCCTCGACTTATAACAATTTATTTAGTGGCCATTTGAAGTTACGGCACTAAAAAAAGTGACTTATGACTATTTTTCATACTTATAACCGTTGCAGCATCCACATGATCACGTGATTTACACTTGGATGCTTGACAACTGGTTCTTATTTGACAATTGCAATATCCCAGGGTCATGTGATCACCTTTTACTATCTTCTGACAAGCAGTCAATGGGGAAGCCATTCATTTAACCATGTTACTAATTTAACATCTGCAATAATTCACCTAACAAATGTGGCAAGAAAAGTCTCAAAATGGGGGGGGGGGGGACTCACTTAACAATTATTTTCTCACCTAGCAGCATAAATTCTGGGCTCAACTGTGGTCATAAGTCGAGGACTACCTTTAGCCAATGGGACTGTTCTGCACTTTACAGCCACAGTGCTTAGCAAGAGAAATTCTAGTCCCAATTCTCATTGTACAGTTGAGTAACCTATTTTTATTGCATTCAACTTTTTTCTCCTGAAAGAACCCCAACTCATACCTAGCCAATACAGATGTCAATTTAATTTTTTGCCTTTTGACGTTCATCCCTTGCAGCAGATCAGAGGACCCACTTTGTTTCTACCATCTTGAAATCTTTCTATTCATGGTACCATAGTGGAAATGTTCACATAGCCTCTCGTTTCACTTTGTAGAAAATGGGAAGTTACTAGTTTTTAAATTAATCATAATGAGCTTTAGCATCCTTTTCCCCAATTCACATAATATGGTGCAATGCAATAAATAAGTCAGTGTGTTGTCAACTGCCAGATTTCTGATAAGAAACGTTCAGAAACTAAATTGAAACAAGCTTGGAGAGCAAACCATTGCCAAAAAAGTAGTCAGCAGTATTTAAAACTGTGAGAAATGCCCAGACTAAAAAAAAAAG